CCACATCACTCGGCATCAGGGAAATACAAATCAAAAACCACAGTGAGATATCACCTCATACCCGTCAGAATGGCTAAAATTAACAAGTCAGGAAACAACAGGTGTTGGCGAGGATGCGGAGAAAGGGGAACCCTCCTGCACTATTGGTGGGAATGCAGGCTAGTGCAGCCACTCTGGAAAACAGTATGGAGGTTCCTCAAAAAGTTGAAAATAGAGCTACCCTATGACCCAGCAATCGCACTACTGGGTATTTACCCTAAAGATACAAATGCAGTAACCCAAATGTTTACAGCAGCAATGTCCACAATAGCCAAACTATGGAAAGAACCTAGATGCCCATCAGCAAATGAATGGATAAAGAAGATGTGGTATTATATATACAATGGAATACTATGCAACCATCAAAAGACATGAAATCTTGCCATTTACGGCGATGTGAATAGAACTAGAGGGTATTATGCTGAGCGAAATTAGTCAATCAAAGAAAGACAATTATCATATGATCTCCCTGATATGAGGAAGTTGAGAGGCAACGTGGAGGATTTGGAGGGTAGGGAAGGAAAAAATGAAACAAGATGGGATTGGGAGGGAGACAAACCATAATAGACTCTTAATCTCATGAAACAAACTGAGGGTTGCTGGGGTGGTGGGGGTGGATAGGGTGGCTGGGTTATGAACATTGGGAAGGGTATGTGCTATGGGGAGTGCTGTGAATTGTGTAAGTCTGATGATTCACAGACCTGTACCCCTGGGGCAAATAATACATTATATGTTTATAAATAAATAAATATGTAAATATCTTACAGTTTTGTCAATTACACCTCCCTAAAGCTGAGAAAATAAAGATAAATGAAAGAGAGAGAAAAAAACAAACAAACCAAAAACAACCTTCCAAATATGTGAGCTTGAGTTTGTGATAAACCTTGGCCCAGCCCTTGGCTTTGTGATCTTGGGAAAGTCACTTAAATTCTCTCAGTGTCTCAATTTTCCTCATCTTTTTGTAAAGTGATACTTACACCCCTTGGTCTCCGGTGGCATAAATTTCAAATAGTCTGCCACTGGTGGAAATGGTTGGGAGAGATTAGAGCCATCTCAGGTGACCACGTGGTGAGGGAGAGGGCTGGTGTGGTGGCGCACACAAAGCAGGTGTTTTGGCCATGGACAAGCCTGCATGGCAATCCCAACTCTGCCTGTCATTTGGGTGAGTTATTAAATCTCCAGAAGTCTCTCCAACTTGTAAAATGCAACGTTGTGGAGATACAGATATATAAACATAAGCTTCTGACAGACAGTAGGCCATTAATAATGGTGGCTATCATTTTTTTTTATCAATTACTGAATCACAATGAATAGTTAGCAGGTTCAGAATGTGAAGGTTTATTTTCTAAAACATGCCTATTCATTCACTTTGATCCCTAGGGAAGAGCCAATACAGAATTGGGTTATCCAGCTAGGAAATTAAATCCCATGTTTCTCTATACTGAATGTTTGGGGCTAATTCCAGAAGCTTATCCTCATTACACATCACACCTTGAGAATAGCTGGACAGGTACTTCTCTTCCCCTCAGAAGTCTCTGCATTAAATCCCCACTCCTGTGACCACAGGAATTCTGGTAGTCTGTTGGGATCTCAAAATTTATCCGTTCTAAAGAGGGTAAAATTATCATGCACTAATTCCCAATGCTTTTTAGCATGAGAAGCTCATTTTTTTAAAAAAGATTTTATTTATTTGACAGAGAGAGGTAACACAAGCAGGGGAGCGGGAGAGGGAGAAGCAGGCTTCCTGCTGAGCAGGGAGCCCAATGCGGGGCTCGAACCCAGAACCCCAGGATCGTGACCTGAGCAGAAGGCAGATGCTCAATGACTGAGCTACACAGGCACCCAGAGAATCTCATTTAAAGGTAAAAATAATTTAAAGGAATCCCAAAAAATAACAGTTCTATTTTAAGTAGCTTTTGATTGAGAACATACTTGATAAAAATTTAGCAATGGTGAGAAGTTAGAGGATCCTCCCAAACATTTTTTTTGAGTAGGTAGTATACAAACCTGATGGAAAATGCAGAAGGTACCAAAGGGAATAGTCCTTGCACTCCATGCCTCGGTCACTCAGTGTCCTTCCCAGAGCCAAGTGTTGTTGAAACACTGTGTCTGCTTTGTCCTTTCAAAGGTCATCTATGCTTTACAAATACTTACATATTTATCACTTAAAAAAAGACAAAAATAACAGATCTTTCCACTGTTCTTCATACTTATCAATGTCTTGTTATACTTTAAACAGGGTACGTGAAAAAAAGAGAGAAGAATGTGCATTTTTATTCATCACAGTGGCATCTGCTATTGAAAAAGTTAGATTGCATTTATTAATATACCGAAAGTCCAAGTGTACATCAATTACAGAGCACCTAGAGATTCTCAGCTCTAAGTTTGGAAACCAGTAGTATAAGAAAGTTATCAATAATATTCAACATTAATTTTGGCCCCTACTTTGCATCAGGCATTGTTCTCAGAATTTTATACTTGTTATCTCACATAATCCACATCCTTCAAATCCTTCTCTTTCAGCTTAAATGTTATCTCCTTAGAGAAGCTTTCTATGATCCAAGGATACCTTCCCTCTTTCCTTTCTATTATTCCCTATCATTTCATCCTGTTTATTTCCTTCAGGAGATGAACCACTCTATGTAATTAGTTACCTATCTATCTGCTTGTTTACTGTTGTCTTCCCAACAGTACGTGTTTTACAAGCAAGGACAGAATCAGCTTGGCTCCTTGCACTATATCCAGTGCCCGGTACCATGTCTCAGAGGAGCCATTCATTGGATATTTATTAAATACATCATGAGCAAAAACCAACTTGACGAAGTAGACCCTATTATTATTTCTGTTATACAAATGAGGAAACCAAGGCCCAGAGAGAAAAACAAGCTCATTCCAAAGTTAGTAAATGACAAAATTGGTTTGAAACCCAGCTCTGCTTGACCCCAGAGCCCAAGCTCTTTACCACCATTCTGTTGTCAGAAATGGAAGACTGAGTATAGTCCTGGATGTGTGTGATCTTGAATAAGTCACTTTTCCTCCCTTGGACTGTTTGCTCCACTGGAAAAGGAGAGGGTGGAATTAGCAATATTCCTCACAGAGGTGTTCTGTGATGTAGGAGATTGTGATCCATGAAAACGTAAAGGGGGACATTGAAGGGACCAAGAAGATTGGCCAGATGCCTGCAAGAGAGATAGATGACTTTTGACTCTTTTCTTCCTTCCCTCCTTTCCTCACGGAAGATTTGCTGATCTTTATTCTATGGCAGGCACTGTGTCAGACATCCCTTTGGATAGGGCTCCAAAGACTAATAGGACATGGTCCCTGCTGTTAAGGGACCTGGCCTGATGGGTCTAATGCAGACCCACTAACAGCTGTTTTTAGTGTAGGTAAGTACCATTATAGTAACATGTATGAGGCACGTGGTTACACGGAAGAGGAAGGGATTAATTCCATCATGTCATATGTACAGTGCTCGGAATGGAACTGGATGTAAGGAAGGGAGGGATGAGGTGTAATGCTGAGCTGGGCCTTGGGGGAAGGAATAGTCTTCCAGATGGACAAGGCTAAGGTGAGGCTTCTGGACCCAGGAGACATTACAGGCAGAAACACAGGCACATTTTGCTGGATTCCTAGAGTAGGGGGTTGGCTCCCACGGTGCAGAGCTGGTTAGGTAGAGGGAGCCCAGACTCTTCAGCCTGGAATCGACTCCTGAGAGCAGAGGCATGGCCAACTCATATTTACATTTTATTTTTAGCAAGATGACTCTGACTGTGGTAGGACAGGAGGAGGCTGATGAGGCCAACAGTGGGGAAACTGGTTAGCAGGTTTTGCAGTGGTTCAGGTGAGAGATGATGAGCACTTGGAACCTAAGGCATTCACAGCAGGGTGGGAGAGGAGCTAGATACACCGGAGATTTTTTTTTTAAAGGTAGAACAGAAGGACTTGGTAATTGATTGGATGAGGGAGAATAAGAGGAGACTAAGGGACTTATTGGAATGGATCAGGTGACCAAATACAAAACACTGCCATGAACAATTATAGGGAATTTGGAGTGGTGTGGGAGAAATAATGCTGTTGTCTTTGGATATATTAAGTTTGAGGTGGCTCTTAGACAGCCAACAGGAAAGGTATAGCTGTGTCCTTCCTTTACAGAATAGCAGTCCAAGCCTGAGCCAGACATCCCTGGGCCCATTTCCTGCTGGGCCCCGGCAGGGATAAAATTCTCCAAGACCTGAGTAGAATTCCTGAGCTCCACATCCTTCAAGGATATAAGCTGGAAATTGAAAACTCCCTAGATCCTTATTGATAGGAGGAGAACAGATTGTGGATTTGCTTTTTAAAATCGGACGTTGGCTCCAGTGGATCGAACTCTCTTGTCCCTTGCAAGGACCAGACTTTAAAACAAAAGAAACCATTTCTTCTGGAGCAGCCTCTGGCCCTGACAGACTCTGGCTCTCGAGTTGGCTCCCAAGAAGCCCCCACTTGCTTTAGGGAACAGCTTTTCTAAAGAAGGTGAGGTTGTACGGCATGTAGCCTGTCCAGCCTGGCCGCTGCTGAAAGCCCAGAGTCTTGGGCACTGGACCCTCGCCCAGCCTCAATGGGCGTCCTCAATGCCAAGAAAAGACTTCACGTAGCCCTAACTGTTTCCAAAATGACGCGTCTGGAACCCTTCTCCACCTCAACTCGGATCCCTAGAGCTCACCAGGCGGTGGCAGGGCCGAACACGTGGGCCCCATTAGGGGCCGGCCTCTAAGGTCCTCCCGGGGAAGTGGGTAACCTAGGAGGCGGAAGGCTGGCCCGCCACACCGAGCGTGGTAATCTCCCAGGCTGCTCCAGCCCCTGGCCAAAGGCAGGGACACGCCCTGTGCCCCACTCCCACGTTCATAGGACGGTGCCAGGATCCCTTTTCTCTACTCCGCCCTCTCCTCCCGCACTGTCCCACTGTCCTGCCCATAAATTGCAAGAGCAAAGGTAGCACGATTCCTGCGGGCCGCGACATCGGGCGCTAAAGCAGTGCAGTCCCGAGCTTCCCCTGCAGAAGCCGCGCTCCTCACTTGGTCCGGGGGTAGAGGGGGCGCGAGAGAGCAAGTGGGCGGGCATCCTATTCTCCGCATCCTCCTCCAGGTCCTGGCGCGCAGGGTGGGAGCGCCGCGCCGCTCTGCGCTGCGCATCGCGGCCGGCTAGCCGCCTGCCCCCTGCCCTAGCTGGGCCGCCTCCCCCGGCTGCCGGTGGAGGGCTACGAGGCGCTAACGTTACGCTGTTTCCGGTTTTCTAGCGGGCTCTGTTTCCCCTCCCAAGGCGGCGGCGGCGGAGCGGCGGAGCCCCCCAAATGGCCTGGCCAGATGCGGCAGGTTTGCTGCTCAGCGCTGCCGCCGCCGCCACTGGAGAAGGCTCGGTGCAGCAGCTACAGCGACAGCAGCAGCAGCAGCAGCAGCAGCAGCAGCAGCAGCAGCAGCAGCAGCAGCGAGAGGAGCAGCAGCAGGAGCAGCAGCAGCAGCCGCAGCAGCAGCAGCGAGAGCAGCAGCAGCAGCAGCAGCCGCAGCAGCAGCAGCGAGAGCAGCAGCAGGAGCAGCAGCAGCAGCATCTCCTCCCGTCCCGCTGCGCCCCCAGAGCCGCGGCCGCCGCAACAGCCGCAGCCCCGCAGCCCCGCAGCCCGGAGAGCCGCCGCCCGCTCTCGAGCCGCAGCCGCCGGCGGCATGAGGCGCGACCCGGCCCCCGGCTTCTCCATGCTGCTCTTCGGTGTGTCGCTCGCCTGCTACTCGCCTAGCCTCAAGTCAGTGCAGGACCAGGCGTACAAGGCACCGGTGGTGGTGGAGGGCAAGGTACAGGGGCTGGCCCCGGCCAGCGGCTCCAGCTCCAACAGCACCCGCGAGCCACCCAGCTCGAGTCGGGTGGCGCTGGTGAAGGTGCTGGACAAGTGGCCGCTCCGGAGCGGGGGGCTGCAGCGCGAGCAGGTGATCAGCGTGGGCTCCTGTGCGCCGCTCGAAAGGAACCAGCGCTACATCTTTTTCCTGGAGCCCACTGAGCAGCCCTTAGTCTTTAAGACGGCCTTTGCCCCTATTGACACCAACGGCAAAAACCTCAAGAAAGAGGTGGGAAAGATCCTGTGCACTGACTGCGGTGAGTCGCCCCCTTCCTCTCTGCTGGAGAAAGGGGGGAGGGGCGAGGTGGTGGAGAATGGGGGTGGGGCGGGGAGGTGCTGCAGGTGCCCAGGCCTGGCAGCGCCCGGCTGCTGGGGGTGGGGGGTGGGGCCGTCCCTGGGCAGGGCACCTGGCGCGGATGGGTGAGGGGGTGGGGGTTGGGGAGAAGGAGGATCAGGCTCAAAGTGTGCCGGGGTGGGGGGTGGGGGAAGGCGCTGGCCTGGGCCAGCAGCGATCTGCGGCTGATGTATGGCATGTAGAGCTGGAAAGCTGCCATCATAGCCCAGTAGCGGCAGGAAAAACGGCGAAGTCCGGGTGGTGCCGGCCCGAGGCTCGGTGAGTCAGGAGTGACCCTCGGAGGCCTTGCCCGCTCTGCTCCCATGGGCCTGCCTCGCTCCGACTGACCAGGGTCTGCAGGAGCAGCTGGGCAGACTCCCAGGTCGTGAAGGCCTCCGCTTACAAGTTCTCCTAGGGAATGACGGCCCCCGCCCCCTCCTTCCTCTCCGGGGCTCCGGTTCTGCTCATCCCCACCGCTGGCGCAGGCAGAGTTGGACTTTTTCTGCTACTGTTTTCCGTCCTCCATGTGGCTCGGGGTGTTTTTTCCTTCGTGATTGCCTGTCTTTGCTAAGCGGTTAGCCCAGTCTTCTCTTACCCTCCAGGACCGGGGAGTGGACACCTCTTTTGGCCGTTTCTGGGAGATTTGACTAGGTCTCTTGATAGGGATGACAACGAAATAGAGTAACTTACTTCTGCTGAATGCCGTAAGCTCAAGCTCTGACATCTTACTGGCAGGATGTGTGGACTGCATCTGCCGTCTTCATGATGTTGGGGCTGCACGGGAATGCAGGCGCTCAGAAACAACACAAGTGTGTAGATCTCTGTAGCCGAGAGTGGAGGTCTCCCATGTTCAAAGTCAAAGAAGTATCTGTTTAAGAGCTTTTGTTTCTCCTCCCTGAACGCACTTACTTCTCAGTGAGATATTTCAAACCAAATCGCCCCCATACTGGAGTATTTGGTGCTGGCTGGTCTTGGGCTTATTCCTGTTGGGGCTTCTTTTTGTCCCGTCTCAGGCTAAATTGGGTGCTTGCTGTGTGACTCTGGGCTGTGTAATCACTGAATTATGACAGATGTCCCGGAGGTCATCGAAGTTGGCATGTTTACCAGGTTACCAATTGGGTCTATATAGGCTTTGGGAAGCAAAGAATGTGGAACAGCTCATGGGAAGTTTTGCTGCCCTCCCCTTTTTAGATCAATGCCTTTTTGCGTTTTGGAAGCCTTCCTCCTCTCTCCTCCTCCCCCACCCCTGTCCTTCAAAAGACAAAATTTTAATTTAGTAGTAGTGGTTGGGTATCCAGGCATTATGTTAAACTGTGGCCACTTTAATCAGAAGACTCTTGAAGTATCTTAATGAGGAGGGAGAAACTTGGGTGGTAAGAGTGATTTCTCTCTCTGACATTGTTCTGAGGAATACTGTTGACTGCTCCTTCATGTTGGTTTTATGCTCTTCCCTGTTTTATGAGGACAAGTCGAGAGCAGTTAAGAGTTTCTGATTTTTTATTCTGTTAAGTATTTTATGTGAGATCCCATAGGGAGCTGTGGAACTGTATTGTGCAGCGGGAAATAGATAGTAAAAACATTTATTGAACCTTGTCCAAGGACAGCTTCTGTTTTGGTTCTCCGTGAGTTGCTCCCGCGTATGCACAGTGCACATCACTACATAATCCCTGGTCTGGTCCACTGAGACCCCATGGTCTTTGTCAGATAATCCCCTGTCTTCCTCCACCTACTTTCCCCCTTCCCTCCTTTGCAATTATACCTTGTTTGTCGTGGTGAGAGTTGAGGAGTTGAAGAGTTGAATGTGGAGATCACGAGAGATGTGGGGGTCAGAGATATTTTCTACTTTCAGGTTATGATCACCTCATTTGATGGAAGTGGCATGTGTGGGTCTAGTTCTCAGAAAGTGCCCAAAGAGATCCCTTCTGAAGAGAAGGCCATCCCATGCTGTAAATTGTCAAGAGACAGAAACAAGCATGGAAGTAAATAAACACTTCAGAATGCAAACAATTTGGCTTTGAGTTGATAGCGCCTAAGTCGGTGTCAGTTTGTGGAGGGGGGAGCTTTATATAAGGGAATTCGAAATTAAAGGACATATTTGTGAGAGGAAATTTGTGGAACTGGGAATTATATGTCAGAAGAGCGTAAACTGCATTTTCTTATTTTCTACCATGGGGTTAAGGAAAACACGTCCTGGTGATGGTATATTAAATAAGGAAACAAAATCATCCTAACTAACCACAACACCTTCCTTGTGCTCAGCAGGAAATAACTAACAAATTCATTTTCTGTTTTCTATCTCTAAAGAAAGCCCTCTGGGCCACAGGGTCATTGGGAACATTTTCTCCTTGGAGCAGATTTGCCCATTGCAAAATAGGGAAACTGGCACTCAGAAACTGTCATCATGCCTGTTATATTGAGCAACTGTGGTTGAATTGTTACTTTGTTTAGCCAGTTTCAGCTCTGAATGTGTCTGGATTCAGAGAGCTGTGTTTCCTGGGGAGATCATCTAGAAAGGTGTCTTAGGGTGGGTTAGGACTTTGGGACAATGTATCCTATGGAGGGATATTGAGTTTAAAAGTTAGCACATGTCTCAGTAGCATCAATGAGGGGTCATGCTAGACCCTTTGTAGAAGGTCCTCACGAATGGCTAATTTCACTGCTATTGTGTAATATTGATTTGAAGCCTGTGAAGTCTGGCTGGGATAACAATATCTGTCAGAGGGGTATTTTTATAGATCTCATGTGTATCATTCATCCAAAATTACTACCTCTGGTGGTAAAGAGTTGAGTAAAATCTTTGCATTTCTAAAAAGCTTGCATACAGGGAGGTGTTTTCTGTGCCTTTTGTGGAGAGGAAAAAGAGGAAAAAGAGAAAGCAGTCTTCAGGATTAGCAACTCTGTACAATGCTATAAAAGCATCCTGTTCTGCAACCAGTCCTGCATTTTTAACGATGGTTGCACATATTTTGGTATAATCACACCCTATCTTGTTGCTTTCCTATATATATGGTTTTAAGCTGTTTCCTTGTTGCATAGACACAGCAGATAGCTTAAGAAAAAAAAAAAGATCATTCTTCCTTTGGGACTTTCTGATTTACAGTTTTCTTCCAATGTATAGTGTTCTTTGTTGTTAAAGATGGAAAAGGTGTATTCCCCCGGGGCGGGGGGTTGGGGTGGTGGTGGTGGTGGTGGCTTTACATCCTTTAGGATAGTTTTATTTAATTTGACAACCAGAATCACATATTAGAGGAAGGTGGTTCACAAAATTCAGCATAGCAAAAGCGACTGCATATTTTTAAAATGCTGTTTATTTAAAGAATCTTTTCTTCCCCCGCCAGCTGGAAACCCAGCTGTGCTACAGCTTAAAGATGGGAAAGTGAAACTAGTCTAGAAACTGACCATTCCTAGCTGTGAGGACGAGGCTTGGCCATAGATTTAGGGGTAGAATTGCCATGATAATATCATTAGTTCTCTTGGTGCCTCCTTTCCTCAGCCAATTGCAATTCTTGGGGGCGGGAACCATATCTTATCTTTGAGGTCTTTTTCCTACCTCTCCAGCCTCCCCCCCCCCACCATGTTGGTACTGTGTCTGATGTGTACAGGGACTCTCAAGTGTCTTTTGAAAGGATGAAGTCAAGTGAAGTTAAAAAAGCAAGCCTCCCGATTAATACTAAAACAATCTTAACTCTCGGATCTGTGACACCAAGTCTTAGTTCTGAAAAGCTGAGTTTGATGATAGCCTTTACCTGTCGCTATGGGAACCTTTTTTCCAAAGGAGTCGTTATCAACTAGAGTACTTAACCACAATGTGTTTAATCATTGTGCTGATTAGTGTTAATGGGATTTGAGCCACAGAGACTAAAGGTCTTGCTGGAGAGGACTCTCTCTTTTTTTTTTTTTTTTGGAGAGTAGATTACCACTCCCTCACCCTCAAAACAAAAATAAAAATAAAACAACTCTCCATTTGAATTAACAAATATTTTGGGAGCTAGAGAGGATGGTATGTTAACTAACTAGGTGACTAACTTCTTGGTCCCAATCCTCTTTTCCATTTTTCATCATCTAGGACATTTTCATTCTATTTCCTAATAGCAAATGCACCGTTAGGGTTTTTTTTTTCCCTTTCTAAAATTGTATTTACTTTTCTGAATGTGTAATATATTTATATGCCTCAATCCAGAAAGTGCATATGAATATACGGTCAAAAGTCTCCCTCTCACTCCTGTGCTCAGCTACCTAATCCATAAGGCAATTGAAAAATAACATATTCTTGAAATGTGTATTTCTCTAAAAGCAAAACGTTTGTCAAAGTAGTCTTAGGTTTTTCTCTTAACAGACGGAGAGTGTTCATTTTGCCATTAAGTCAATTTTATGGTAAATTCTTCCCCAGGCAATACATATATATACATATGTATGTGTATGTATATATTTGTATAGGCACGTACATATATATGTATCTATCTATACATAAGTATATATTTGACTTAACCCAAGATCTTAATCACTACCCTACCTCACAAATGTAACCCTAGGCTCAAGTATGAAAATACCAAGGTGTTTTTCAGATACTTTGCCATTAAGAAGTTTTGTGTGACAGGAAATTTTGGGAGGAGTCTTCACTGGGATGCCCAAGAGAGAGATGCAATGATTTGTCCCTGAGCTTAGGGCAGCCCCTCTGCCCGTACCACGATTCTTACTGTTTCTCTCTCTCAATAACCTCACAGCAGAATCCACGAGGAAAATCACATGCTTCCATATGTGCAAAGAGAAAACCCCACAGTGCGTGATTGCTTTGATTTTCATTTAGAAGGCAAACCCAAAGACTTCAGTTGCTGATGAAGAGTTTGATTTTGACTGACTGTATTCCTATAGGCTGGTACAATTCTAGGGGGAATTATCCACTTGAATCTTGCTTTGAAGTAC